TTAGGGAGGAAATGTGGTAGCAAAAGATTTGTTACACTCACCTGTGGAACTTTTCAAATCAAATTTGAAATGTATAAAACTGAGTTATAGGCACTTTTGTAAGATTCAGCATGAACTTGTCACCTCCAGTTTTCTCAAATACTTAAAAGAAGTACAAATGGCTTTATTAGAAGAACACATGAGATTTAAGGGTGCCTATAGTGAATTCCATTAACTGAATTTAAACCCCCCTTGCTAAAAGTTCTGTTTCTCTATTTCGAACAGTATTAAACATGAGACTATTTCATTACACTTTCTCTTTTTCTCTAAAAATATTATTTTCTGTATACCTTCAGAATATGATCCGTGTTTCTAATAGTGTGACCCTTGTAAATCATTCACACATTTCCATGAATATCTCCTGCTGTTACCTAACCAACTATTTATTTCCATTACCACAGACATTTGACTTCACTATCATTAAACTGAAGAATTTTTCCTCACATATCGGAAGTAGCAGTGATCCCTACATATAAAATAGTTCTTTTTTTGTTTTTGTTTTTAATTTTGCTTTTAAGTCTGATTACAATTAGATACCTTGTAGCATATGCCCTAGGTAATAGCTGTCACTTTTACCTTTTTATGTTACAGTGATTTTTCATTCTTGCTTTTGTAATTACATGGCTTAGAATCCCCCAACACCAGGGTTCCAGAAAGCTGATTACTCTTACTTGAGAAAGGGAAATCATTTTCCATCTCCTTGGGTGAATATAAATCAAATGGTGCTCTGGTTTTAAAGCTCTCTTGGCTTTTTCCTCTCTCTCCCTTTTAAACTGCTTGCCTTTTGTCTGTCTTATTATAGGTCACCTTCTGCAATCAGATGGTTCATTTTCCAGAAATAAATTCCTTATTACTCAAATACTGACTCATTTTTATCTTGTTAGCCTTTAAGTCTAAATTCTTTTATATCAAGTTTTTTTAAATAACATTGTCATTTTTAAAAATAGCTTTCATTCCTGAATATATACCAGGATCACCTAGAAATCTTTAAGATAGATAGATAGATAGATAGATAGATAGATAGATAGATAGATAGATACATAGATAGAGAGAGAGAGAGAGAGAGAGAGAGAAAGAGAGAGAGAGAGAGAGAGAGAGAGAGAGAGAGAGAGAGAGAGAGAGAGAGAGAGAGAGATAGATTCCTGGACAGTACCTTAGGATGGTATTGAGACCCAGCAATCTGTATTTTTAGAAAGCTTGGCCAGTGACATCAAATGAGAATCTGTCATAGTTCTAGGAAATTGGACCTCTAAATTAAAGCTAGAGGAGAAAGTTGATTTCCAATACATTATCAATTTGAAGTGCTAAAAGAGACAAATACTATATAAGATGCAGTATTTGACGATCAACACTAGCAAAAACAATTATATTTAGAAAGTGCCTTTTCTCATATTCTCAGCCTTTAATTTTGCAACTACTGGTACATGCAAAATTGACATCCCTCCGCAGTCCGCTCTCTCCCTAGGTGAGATCTCTCTAAATGTCTCTGGGAATTTCTGCAGGTGATATTTACCCTTCACTTGTAGGGCTCCTTAGACAATTACTTATCCTCTCTGTTGAATTGCTGCTAGATTCGGTATTCTAGTGCTGACATTGAGATTTTCTGTTGGTTTTACAATTTTTAGCTCATTCTCCTAAAAACCTACACTCCAATCATGGTGGCCTCACTTCTAATTGAACTGCAGGCTTATTTAAAAAGCATGTGTTCCAGCTTGTGATTTTGTTTCAACTTTGATCCACATTCTGTTTCTGGTCTAATATATACCTAAGTCTTTAATACCACTTCGAAGTTTGAATCTTTTATTTCCCTGTACGATTTTCCATCCTCAATCTTTATTTCTAATAATAATCTGCCTCTGTGACCAGTTATGTTTTTGTCTATAAACGTTCTGTCTGCTTGGGCATAGAAAGTGATTTGAAACAAATGTCTTGTATTGGACCCTCACAATGAACACTGTCCAAGCTGCCATTAGTTAAGGTAAACTCTTTGGCAGTCTGCCTGACCTACTTGAAATAACCTCTGCTGAGAGTCAGCTCTGGCCAACAAATACTGTCTTTGACCAGAAGATAATGTTAATAATATTTACTATCATTTTTCTGGAAGTAAACTATGATGCTAATTAGCCAGGCATGGTGGTGCATGCCTATAATCACAGCTACTCGGGAAGCTGAGGCAGGATAACTGCTTGAACCCAGGAGGTGGAGGTTGCAGTGAGCTGAGATCACGCCATTGCACTCCAGCCTGCACACACACAACAACAACAACTATGATGCTTTTGACAACTGTGATTATTAAGAAAACTTGAATACAATATGTATTATTTGTTTTGCACGTTAACATAGCCTTATAAAGAACATGTTCCTAAGGGCTTCAAATTAAATAGTTCTTAACCTAGATTATGAGATCCCTTAGGGAATGCAAATTGAGTGTTTAGATCAATGGTAATATAGAGGGATCAGCTACATACCAATGTCACATCTGAAAGAAAAATACAACTCAAGAAAGTTTAGTAGTAGGCATCAATGGCAACAGTTTATTCCCTCATGAAATTATTAATAAAGTCGCCCTTGCTTAGTTACCATACACACATCCTCATTTTTAATGGGCTTAGTTTGTAACAGATACACACTGTGATAATGTAGGGTTGAGGCTGTGACTAGGCTTTTAAGGGCTTGTATGACTGCACAACCAATGGCTTCATTAACTTTATTGCCATGTATTTCATGTGCATATATTCACTTTTTATCTGAAATGTAAAAGAACACAGAATTTAATCAATTACATCTCTCATAAAGATACTTAAAATGCTTTTTTTTTTGTAAAATCACTAAGGCAAATTGTCTTGCTGCTCAGCAACAAAGATTTAATACTTCATGAAATAACAGATGGCAGGCAATCATTTCAAAGGAGAAGGACATGACTAATAGTATAAAGATAATTGATTGCGTGGATCTGAGCCTCTGATCAGGATTGCCTGAGCCTCATGGAAAACATTAATCATCTAAGATTTTTTATAAAATATATTTTCTGTTATGGTTCTATGTTGTGTTATAAAGCTGATAGAAACTGAACAAGTAAACAGAACTCTTGTGGGAGTATGATACCTTTAACTCCATAGCTCAGAGATTCAGTAAAATTTAAAGGTATCATAACATTAACCAAATCATTTCTTACATGAATATAGGTAGGCCTTTGATTCAGTAAAGTTTAAAGGTATCATAACATTAACCAAATCATTTCTTACATGAATATAGGTAGGTCTTTGAGTGGTAATGTCACTATTCTCAAGCACCATCATATTTATGCCTAGCTACAGTTTAAGGGAAGTGGAATGCTACTGATTATGTACAGCCATTTCCAAAGCTCATGTCAAGGAGCCCTGTATATATGTTTATATCATGGAAATGGACCATGTTATAGACCATGTGTGAAATAGTACACACACACACACACACACACACACACGCACACACATGCACACACACACACACACGCACACACACACAATTTTAAAAGACCACTTACTAAGAAGAGGTGCACAGAGTAAGGATTGCCTGACCTCAATAAAAATGTGAACAAAGGATTAAAATTTTGCTCATTGTCTCCAAGTATTCATACTATATTCTCACTAATTTGGCTCCTTGGAGATCTGAGAACAAGTTGGTGGAGGGTGAAATGGGTTAGCCACTTCTGGTTGCCTTCAGTTTGTAGTATGAAGGAGCTGATTTCTAGTCCCAGCTAGTGCACTTGAACATGTAACAAACACACAGCAAGTAGATGACTTTACTAGAGGCAGCCCGTGCTTTCTGTATTCAAATGACTAGAAAAAGTGTGGGATCAGATAATTATGTATCCTGCTCAATTAAAGAAGCTAAATTGTGTCTTAAAAGCAGTATGTTGATTAGCAAAATGTAGCATATCAGATATTAAAGTATAGATCACCAAGGGATACCAAGGAATCTGAGAATCCAAACGGAACCTCCAAAACATCCCTAGTTGCATTCTTCATGCCTTGAAGATTCTAGATATTCATTGTAATGAGGGGTCTGTAATATATTGGAAATTGAAGGATAGCTCCTCAAGTGTCCTGGCCGATTTTATCAATTACTGTTTTTTTATTTGAGGTCATAAAAGGGAAAGCTGATATAAGTATGACTTAAGAGCAAGTGGGACACAACTTTTTGCATTAGTAAATGTCAAAAATATTTCTCAAAATGAAATTGGCAGCCAGATAAGTTAATTTGAGGACACACATATTGGTAAGGAAGTTCTAAACCAGAACGTATGAAACAAGATATTTTAACAATTAACGCCTTGTTTGAGTTCAACTTCTTGGCCTAATATGAAGTAGAATGCAGAGGTAAAGGACTAAATCTGAATATTACAAGTCAAGTCTCTGTCAGCGGCAATTAAGTAGAAGCACGTTATTGAAATAGGGTATTTCATGATTGTTTAACTCCATGAAATATTTTGGCTTGATTCCTTGTGTTAGTCTGTTCAAATATTAGTCTTCAAGTCTTCTTTTCAGTATCTCTCTGTTTCATCTATTGTTCTTTACCTACTATTATTTGCCGATGTGATTATTCTGTCCTTTTCTTCAACCCAGTTGATGTTAAAGAATATTTTATAAAGACTTCAGCTAGAAAAGTTAAATATTCCTTGAAAATTAAATTATTTTAAGTCAAAGGATACCTTTCATTTCAATAGTGGTGACCGTAACTGAGGGAGGTATGCCTACCTGCCTGAGTGCAAATGGTTTCCATCGTACCAATTCATAATCCTATCCTGTGTTCATTAATAGGGCTGCTGGCTCAACTTCTATGGTTACATTTTATTTTAAATTACTTCATTATATGTAATTAAGAAAGTAAAGGTATATATTTGTAAACATACATGATGTATATGTTTCATCATATATGAAAGTAAGCATATAATTTTTTAAAAATCAATGAGCCTATAAAATAGATTAATAGCAAAGATAATTCAGAAAATAGTCTCTTTACAGTTTGATTCTGTCTCTTATTTGAGAGTGTTAATAAGTCTGAGGGTCAGTTTGACTCTTCCAAGGTTTATTGCTTTCAGAAGTCAGTGAGTTTCTTTTCTACATCTAATTTTCTGAGTGATAAATTGATGGGTATTCCATGTACTTCTTCAGCATCTTGTTGAATGTCTTTATACAGATTCAATATTTAATGAGAAATCAATACTCGCAAGGTACATTTTCTTTGACTTCTTTCGCTTAGGGGTCTGGGTGGCTACCAAATCACGAATATCACCAAAACCACAATCTCCATCATCACTCAAACAACAGGAATCTCCTGAGTGCCTGCTTCATGCTCAGCACTGTGAAAATTGCGTTGAAAAAGAAAGGCACACAGAGAATTCAAAATGATTTTATATTCTTGAGAGGAGAGTTATCGACATAGCAAAGGCTAATGAGAGTATAATATGAATGGTGTTTTACAGTCAGGGAATTCTAGAATTTTTGATCTACCTCCAACAAGCTGGTTACTCAAACTCCACCGTTAATAAAGTCAGACTTGCCAATTGGCACTGGAGAATTAAATTATATACTGCATTTAATTATGTAGATTGGTGCCTGATATATTTTAGGTGCATGCTTAATAGTAAGGTGATAATAAATAATTCGATTAACTAATGTCAATATGTATTGTAAAGACCACTACATGCTGAGAGAAAGACATAGCTCCTATATCTGAACCTACCATTTACGGGTTTGCTTATTGTTGTCATCGCTGAGTTATTTAGCATCTTAGATTCCCAATATTCCTACCTGTAAAGTCAGAACAAGGGTTAGTCAGTTGATCTTTAATGTTCTATTATGAATGTATGTGCACAGACTTTGAATTGAATTTCAAGTCATTCTAGTCTTTGTAGTTCACCCATAGCCCCAGCTCTCAAGGAGAAGCCCTGTCCTCTGTGTTAACTGTCCAGAAGTGATGAAAATTACTGGTGGCTGATGTGTGGAATCTGCATATGCCTTTTTAACATTAATTTTCAAGGCAGTTTTTCAGACCAAAATGTTCTGGCTCCTGTTGTTCTACTTTGTCTTTTAAGAATATGCCCAAGAGGTCATATATGCTTCATTTGTTTCTCTTTTTAAATATCACTGTGTTGTATTCTAACACAGAGTATCCCTCTTCTCCTGAATGTCACAACAGAAAACAGAAGAAGAAAGAATTCCTCCAGGTTCCCTCTCTCTCAGTTTCTTAGATCTTATCTGTTTATTTTGATGTAATTAATAAAAATAATTGAAGAAGCAGGAGATGACAATGACTAAAAGCTTGAAATTATAAAGCTCAAATTGATAACTTTGACATACCTGTATGTTATTGAAAGCCTTTGGATTCTGTTTGTTTCTACTTAAGCTGAAACTCACTAAATTGTCAGTTTTCTTTTTCTTCCCTGACTTTCTCTAGAATACATTAACCTCTTAGTTTCAAAGAATTAAATTAAGATCTTCAATTACAAAGATTTAATGTGTATGAATAAGGGAAGAAGGCACAATTCATGGCCAAATGCAAAATTTTACTTAGATTTTTAAATTTAATTCTTTTTAAAATTCCTTATTAAATTAGAGTTTAACCTGATACCGGCACACTTCTTTCGATCCATAAAGTACAATCCTGACGTTTTCTAGTGAAAACATCCATATTTGTACTGCTCATCACATTTTCAGAGAAATAAAAAAAAAGAGAGAGAGAAACACAGGAAAAGAAGTCAAGCATGGTTTCTTAGTTAAAGTTAAATAGTTGTTTTGAAATTTTCAAAATGACTTATTTTTGTCAATGGAAAACATGTGAGCTTTTGTTAATATTCTCTTTTCAAAATACTTCTAATATATATTTGACTCATTTAATATTACTGTTATATTACTTTCTTAATAATTGCTTGTTTTCACTACAACAACTATTTTACTCATGAGCATTTATTAATAGATGCAAAGCTCTATGGCGATCATTTCATTTGTGTTTTCTTATTTAACTTTCACATCATCCACATAGGACATGTACTTTTATCATCTCCGTTTTAGTCTGCCGCAACATTTCTAGTGATCTTTTCCACCAGCCTATCTAAGAATTGGTGTGTCAGGTATGCAAAAATCAATTTCCAGCAATCAAATACTTAAGCTAAATAGATTTAAAAGAGAAAGTATAATCAATCCATCTCAAATAGAGTCAGTGGACTAATAAGCATATCATCAGAGATGCTTCTAAGATTCTTGAACATCCTTCTTTACTTCAGAATGGCAGCTTTATTGGGAATTAACATTCAAACATGAGGCATATATTGCCTCCAACAACAATAAAGCTGGTATTCTCAGTTAAACATCCACGATGTGCTTCATTCAATATATTTCATCTTACTGTCAGATTTTTTAATACGTCTCTGAGCACACTTCATAATTTTTGAAGGATATTACAAACTAATTTATTTCTTGTAAAGCATGCTTTCCTTGCATAATAAGAATGACGATGCATCTTTATGACTTTATGTGTATTAATCAAGAGCTATTTTATAATGGAATTTTCTCTGTTCCTAATTCTGCTTCACATATGCAAAGAGAATGACAACTTGAAGTCAGTTTCTACAATTAACTTTAAACACAAAATATCTTAAGTGCATAAATACATTAGCAACTTTTTTATCTTAAGAGCATAAATATATTCGCAACTTTTTTATATTGTAGTAGAAAAGCTATTGAACTTAGTGGAGAAATAAAGACTTTCTCCTTCAATGTACTTATTAGGAAAAGTTTGGCTTCATTAAATTTAGTAATGAACTGGTACACGTTGAAAAATCCTCTAAGTGTTAAAAAGGAAAAGCCACAAGTGTTCTTAAAATGTGTAAGAAAGGAAATATTCTAGATATCTTAGGAAGATTACTATTACTTGAATATAATCATAATATTGAGGTAAGACTTACTGACTATATTTTCATATCTGTGGAGACTCTGCCTAAAAGCTTGAACATATTATAGATATTTAACTAAACATTTTACTATCTGCTCCATTTCACCTATAGTACTAAGGAAGCAGAATCATTAAAGATCTGCTCAGGTCAGGAAATGTTTGTCAGCGTATCAGAACTGTCATCTGCTCCCTGTTACAACTCACTGTACCCTCTGAGAGCAATAGGTTTGCTTATTTTCTCTTTCCAAATCCACATGAGATAAGAAAAATAAAACAAAACAAGACAAAGTCTTCGGAGTCAGAAAGGTTTCATGCAAAATTGATTATAGTCAATTTTTATTGTCACTTAAGCAATTTTCAAATCTGTCCCCTTCTTCAAATGGTATTATTGCTTGTTTGTTCATTGTTTATCCAACGGATATGATTATCATCTTTCTTATAGTCAGTAATTCCAAGTCTGCTGCCAGAGCCTGGAAGCAATAACAAGCAAGTGTGAGAAGTAACTGAAGGGAAGAATAAAATTACACTCTTCTAGCTCCAGGTTCATGGTGGCTAATAAGAGAATTTGACATTTTTACTTATCTAGCATCTACCTTTTACATCAATGTCTCTCTGAGTTGATAAAAATATAAATAAATGAGCCATTCATATACCATTTCAAAGTAAAACAAGCAAGTTAACAAATACCATTAAATGCAGAAAACATTTTGATACCATTTTTAGGAAAAAAGTGGAGAATATTTTGAGTTTGGGCTACAGAATTAATACTGCTTAAAAAATTTCCCTCCATTTGAATGGGCCAGATTTTATTTTAATGATTTTTTTTCTCTTTTTAATATTTTCGTGTAAGGAACTACTACAAAATAAAGTCTTAACACAACCATTTCTTTTTATTTTATTTTACTTTTTTCCCAATACGTCTTTTTCACTCCTAACACAACCATTTTATAATTAAAATTAGTTACTCCTTTTTTTAACTGAAAAAAACTTACTTAGCTGTTTACAAACAAGTTTGTATATTTAAATTAATTTTCGTCATTTAAATATAATTTACAAAGGGAGAAGCAGGAACATTGAAATAGTGATGCTTGGTAAGAAATGAATGGCAATTTTATTTCAAACCAATCTATGAGATATTAGTGTTTACATTTTGTTACTTTCTGATCTATACAAAATTCATTACATTTTTGTTTTCCAATATTATACAGATAGGTTTCCACAGTAGCTTTCTACAATGGGAGTCTCTTCGGAATATAATTCTTCATTATTTATCCCTAGATTTTCATTTAGGCACAGATTTTATTCTTACATGCCCCTCAGGATTACTTTCATTAGCTCTGAGTTCATTTTTAAAAGAATATGACAGGAAGCCAGAAGGTAAAATCTTAAAATTGCTATGGCAATGCCTTTCCTTGGTCTTTCAAGGTTTATGTTTTCTAAAGGAGACTGAATACCAAGAGTGACATTCACACTGATTTCAGATCACTTTTGTTAGTCTTCAGAAAGAAGACTGATTTACCATGTGTGGGCAGTCCTTCCTTATGTTTCCACAATAAACTCTTTAAGAGTAGGATGGGTATTTTTAACACCATCCAACCCAGTTTGAATAAATGCCTTCTTTCAGTATGTTTACTGCAGAAAATAGCCCCAATATACACAAAGCACTTTCAGAATTCCTCCCTGCTCTATTTTGTATAAGGATGTGGAAGACCAGGTCCAAGACTCAGTTATTTTATCAAAGAACTGTGACTGTGAACAAAAGGGTCAGCCCGCATATTTTAGTTTCTCATTGGCAAAAAAAGTAGAAAGGATAATCTCTCTGAGTTTGCTTCAATCTTACATTTCAAGACTTTTAACTGGAAAGATTTGAATATGAGAAGCTTCTTTTTCAGTCTCTTCCAAACCTTATCTTATTATCAACAGACTGTTGAATTGAATAGGATAAAGAAATTCATGAAATTTTTATGCCGAAGAGAGATATAATGGCACTCCCCTCTCCTTTGGTGTTGGTAGGTGGCAGTGATGAAATATATAAATACCATCTCAGGGCTTTATACCATCAACTGATCAAAATCAGTCCCTGGACTCCTCTTATTGTCTCCATGAGTCGCTGCCCATATTAGAGTCTGATGTAAGAATTAGTCACTGTGAGACATTCAAAGGATGTTAGAAAATGTAACTATAGTAAGCACTGATACATGAATGTATACATGGGGTATAATATTTCCCTTATAAATATAATGTGATTAATTGTTGAAAGGCATAAAAAAGGATTTAGGTCTCAGGAAAAGAAATTGTGCCATTTTATAATAAACTTCTGAATCATGTAATTATTGATATATGTTAGCAATAGAACTAAACAATATTTTTGTAATTTCCAGTTTGCATTCTACAAAAGTCGAAGCTCTATTTGTATGTATTACAATGTCTACATTTTGAAGTTAAGAGAAGGAAGAAGATGCATGAGGATTTTACTTGCAGACAGGAGTGGTAGATGAAACTTATAGGTGACAGCGATGAGAGAAAAAAATGATGGTTGGATATTGTGAGAGAGCAAAGAAATGGGAAGGAGAAAAAAGACAAAAGATGCAAGGTATGAAGTAGGGAATCATAGTAAATTACAGAAATGGCTAAAAGCAAAGTAAATCATCTGTGAGCTATAAGCTTTTCCTAAGGATCTATTATTAAATTATTTCCCTTGACTCTGAAATGGATTCTCCTGCTGGGTCAATTTATTATGTATTTTGTCTTGTCAATTTTTAGTCTAGGCATCTAGTAATTCTAATTACAATAATATTATGCCTCTCCACACCTCTCCAATGAACATTCGAAGATGTAAAGGTATTATGTTTATAGCCAAATGCTGTTCAGTTATTTCAGTAATCTAAGTAAAAATTTAAAGCATATATAAAATGTTTTACGGTATACAAAATTTAAAACATATATAAAACATTTTACAGTATACAAAAATGAAAACATATATGAAACTCAGTAGGCACAACAATAAATGCCAAGTATGTGAGTGATTTAAGGAATAAATAAAGCACATCTACATGACAGTCAGTAGACAGAGCAAAATTAATAGCAAGATTCTTAAGATTAACTCTTCATGCTTTTCTATAACATTGTATAAACTTTTTAGTAACGAATACTGAAATAAATTACCTGCATTTATCACCCACCCATGATTCATTAGTTTAACTCAGAGATCGGCAAACTCAGCCTGTGGGCTCAGTCTATCCTGCCATCTGTTTTTGACAGTTCTTTCCTCCATATCTGTAGTTTAGTCATCTTTAAGTGTACAGTTAGTATCTGAACCACTTTCTATCTTCTATTCTTTCATAGAAAATGAGAGCCAGCGAAATAAAATTGTGTTAAGACAAAAAATGACAATAATAAGCTGTTCCTAAAAGTCCAGTGGAAATAAGTTCACTATCTAGACCTTAAGGACATTTAGAAGTTAAAAAATAAAAAGGCTTATTTATTTATTTTGCCTTTGGTCAAAAATAACAATAATCATACTAAAGAATCCATATGGTTAATGGTAAAACACATGAAGAAGAACTGAAGCATCTGATAAAGTTCAAATCGCAACTCCCCCCCACCATTTATAACTTTTTGCCTTTGCTTTTAAATCTATAAAATAGTGATTTTAATATTTTCCTCATAGATCATTGTGCATATTACATTAATATAGAAAAGGTACTTAAAATATAATCTAGTACATAGTGTACCCTCAGTAATATTATATATTATCCATCATCATATTGAAAGTCAACTATACTATAATATTTGATGATGACATTTGAACATTTCTGTAAAAAGAAAAATCAGCTGCAATCTCAAATCAATGTTTGATGTTGCAGAATTAAAATGATGCTATTATTGGAACTGTTTTACCTTTGTAACACTTAGCAATGATTTTGTGTCTGATTTCTCACCAGGACAGGAAATCAGTTAATTTCAGCTTAGTGGTTTCTTTCTCCTCTTAAATAAATATATTTAATAAAATTAAATCACAAAAAAAGTAAAATCTCAACTTTGGTATTAAACTTCTCTAGATGAAAAATACAAAGAAATCCATAAAGGTAACATCTTTCTTTTTTCTCTAAGTCACTACTGTGACTTCCTACTCTGATTATATTAAGGAAGTAAAATATTCTACTTCATTTCAATTTACAGCAATTTTGATAATATGTTTTGTTTCCAGGACACATAAGTACACGATCTAACTCTCTAGATCAAGAAAGAAAAATATACTCTGTCCCAGAATTATAGGTCTAAAAGGTCAAATTGTAAACCATTCTTTTACACTGAAAATAGATGATAAAAGCTTTCAGTCTTGGGTGTACTCACCAATGGAAAATGCAGGGGAATTGGAGAAAAGGAGCTTATGTACTATATCAAAAGACAGGGGCTTTGAATGTGGCAGTTGAAGTTACTGTTGCCAGGTGACAGGTGACAATGGTGAGAATTCGAAAGATGCTGGCAAGTATGTCAATTTTGCCTGTTTTCTTTCATTATGTATTCATTTTGTATACATAGATATTTTTCTGAAAAGACATGTAAAAATAGAAGAATAGCAGTAAATACTGTGTCCATTTTATGACACCCTATAATTTACCAAAGCAGCAATTGTTTATTCTCTGTGAAGGTACAGACAACCTCCCTCTGTTTCCGTTTCTTATTCAGGGGGATGCTGCCATGCAAGGGCTTGTGCCAGAGCCTCACCTGACCCATGCAGCTTCCCTGGAAGGGGCCCGCCTGGCTCCCGCTGAGAACGCTGCTGGTCTGCATGCTGGGCTGGGAGCGCTGCTGCTTTTTCAGTGCCCTCAGCATTTTCCCCAAACCCAACCATACTGGAATCTGGCTCTTGTTTAAGCCATTTTAAAAGTATTCCATGGTTGCTGTTTAGATTTAAATTTGGTGACTGGACTCTCTTCTTTCAGATGCAACTGTCAGGTTGGGATACTTCTTGACATCTTCAACCCTTGGCGGCTTTCGAAGTATCAGGAGTCCTATTTCAATTTAGGCTTGTCTTTCTTTTATTTCTTTCTTCTTTTCATTCATTCTTTCTTTTGTTTTTTTCTTGAGGCTTCATTTTGTTCAAGGTCACCAGCATGTGATGCTTCAGACATTTTCACATGATAGATAATGTGTTTCTCTTTGTTATAGGAAGGATCTGAAGATAAAACTTCAAAAAGTTACACATTAACACCCTCAGGCTCTGCTGATGGAGAAATTCTTCTTCATAGGGTCATAGGTTTAGCATGGAAGTATCGTTAGGGGTTGGAGACAGTGCTATATGTAATGTCTGCCAAACAGCATCACCACTGGTCTCCAAGATAACGCTTGCACAGGAAGGGAGTTGGTAGCAGCACTAGCCATTACAGATACATTATTTGTTTTTCACCACTATTTCTCCCTGTGAGAACATGTCAGCTGATTTTACCATTTCTCTTAGAAGACAAATGTTGGTCCAGGTGGAGTAACCAGATCCCCACTTAGGTTGCTTTTGTATCTCTGAAATATTATTATTCTCTGGACCTTGCAGTTAAGGAAAATCCAGCCTGATAAATTCAAATTCAGGATTGGTGAAAGTCCTACTTTTTGCAGTGGTTCTGGATTTCCTGTTTGTTTTTGTTGCCTAGGCTGCAGGGAAGTGGTTAAATCATATCTCACTGCAGCCTCAAACTCCCAGGCTCAAGGGATCCTCCTACATCAGCCTCCTGAGTAGCTGACACTACAGGCATGCCCAGCTAATATTTTTATTTTTTGAAGAGGGGAGCCTCACTGTGTTGCCCAGGTACTCTAACTCCTGGACTCAGATGATCTTCCCACCTCAGCCTCTCAAAATGCTGGGATTATAGGTATGAGCCACCAAGCCTGGCCCTTGTCTATTTATTCATGATATTAACCATCTGATTTCAAACTATCTTTAGCATGAATGGACAAATGGCGTGAATGTTTGGCTGACTTTTTCTCAGATGATATAGTTCCATCAGCCCTTTTACTGTCAAACTTTTGCGCATCACACTGTTTTTTTTCTCATTGTCATTGAGTTTTGTTTCTTGTGGAAGATGGCACATGGAATCCTTTTAAGGCTTCACTGTTTGAAAGCCTTGGTAACAACTGGGTTGGTTATAATTACACTGGGAGCATGTATTGAGCAAGATTTTTGTGTAGAGTCAGGGTCAAAGGAGAATAGGCTTACAGATGAAGAGTTATCTCAGAAGATAAATTCTGAGGTGCAAAAGTTAAAGCTCCTAAGGCCTTATTTTCAGAATATATTTTCTGCTCTGTCACTCCTGGTTCCAGAACAAATACATAGCGTGTGGCTGCACATCTATGGAAGACACATGCTTCTGAGGACTCTGATCATGCCACATTGGGCCCAGATAATCTGGGAACAAAGGGTTTGACATCTACTGACAACATAATGATGTAGTCTTCCAGCTCACAATGTCCCACCAGGGAGCACAGGGTAGGCTGTGTAGGGGTAGCCAGCAGCCAGCCTATAGGCTCGTCCTGATTCTTGATGTCTGATTTCTGCAAGATTCTTATCATCAGCCTCCCTTCTTTTCTCTACCCACTCCCACCTTTAAGGCAATAGTCACCTTCAAGAATACTTTGTTCTCTCTCCTCCAAAAGCAGCACCTTTCCAAGATTGCAACCATTAACCTCATGTACTTCCCAAGTTCCTTCCCACTGACTCCCTGTTGCCAGTGTTGAGCTCTGCCATGTGTCAGATGTAGTATGCCAGTTTCTACTCAGGGTAAGCTCTTTTATTCCAGGGAATACTTTGGTTGACATCATCTGGGCTCTAACACTCCATGTGCTCTTTCATGTACATTTGCTTTTGCATAGATACTGCCAGTTTCTCTAATCTGGCATGGGATATATAGCACCTATGAGACTGGGGGACAGATGTTTTTACCTGTATCACCACTATCACCTGTAGTGATGCTATTATTTAATATATTTATCATCTGTTTAAGATATTTTTCATTGTATAATTGTTGCCTTTAAATCTGGAAATTAGCAAACATTTTAGGAAACCTTTTCTTTCCTAAGCCTTATACTGTTTACTGCAGTATTTTTAACCTTTATCGATCAATTAATGAACCAAAAATTTCCATTAAACATTCATCACAATAATGCCATTGGCATCAGCACCCCACTACATCCCTTAAAATTTGGGACGAGTTTATTGGCCTAGAGACATTAATAATAATATGGTTTTGGGAGGGGAAATTACTTCTCATAATTACCTCCATAACAGACCAACACTAGAATACCACCTAGCACATCATCTGATATCAAAATAGCTGTGTGTTTTATTCTTTCTTAATAACTGATGCTAGAATGATTGTTAAATTTTCCTCTAGCAACTTTTTCTTTACAGAGGCTTTATGATTTGAAAGCCATGTAACAGAAACCCTTAATATTTTCTCATATATACATTTTTATTTTCAGAGTGATTCATGCACACACAACAGTTTTAGTGCAATCAAAACTTCACGATTTCCATCATAAAGCATTACTAACTAATCTTTGAGGAATGGTAACTTTTTGTTCATCTTCTAAACTTTCTCATGCATAAAAAAATTAATCTTGTTTTGTATGCTTAATTCAGTTACACCTTTATGTATTTCAATTTACTATTATTTGTTCCAAATATTTGAATACAAGCATTTTTTAAGACTGTAAGTTTCATTTATTTTCTCAACAAGGCTTATCTTGTTCAAAGATGATATTGTCGTTGCAATATAAGAGAAAACAATGATGATAAAACATAGCATTTTTAATCAATGTAATCCAATTCAGAGTTTGAAATGTGACTGAAGCAAACTCCACATTTTCTCCCTTGAAATCACACATTGAAACGTGTGTTGGCACAGAGATGGGAATACATGACAGCAGGTTTTCTATTTTGGTGGTGGATTTTAAGTAAAACTGGAATTGTCATAATAAGAAATATTAAGTTCATGAAAATTCAGAAAGTAATGCATACCTTTATCTCTCATTAATATTCATTAAAATTACATTTTAAATTGTTTTTATAGTTTTGTTTGATTATAAAATAAAGTTTATAGTTTATTGCAATGCATTAGAAAAATATATATAATGTATTTGCTACAAATTACAAAATGGTAAATTTCCCCCCAGCTTAGCACTTTAAAACAACCATTTTATTTTCTTCATGATGTTTTGTTCCAGGAATTGAAATGTGCTTGGCGGGGGAGTTCAGATTAGAAAGAATATCTCATATAGCTATAATCAGATGTTGCCTTGGGCAGCAGTTCACTGAAGTTTCTACTTGGCTGAATGTTTAAGATCGTCCATTGAATCCTAGCATTAGAGGCTGGCTGGCTGCAGTAAGTTCAATGGTGTTGCTGACCAGATCACCTTTGCTTTCCAGCATGGTGGTTTGAGGATAGTCAAATTGCTTGCATGTTGGCTGCATTGACCTGAGCAAATGTATAATAACCAGACAGAAGCCGCCTGGACTTAATTGGCCTAGCCTCAGAAATCATATAGCATTATTTCTTTCTTAATTAATTGTGGAAAAGGTAAACCAAGATTCAAGAAGAGGAAACATAGACCCTAGTCTTCAAGATATGGCTTTAAATATCTTTGGTAAAACAATCTGGCATAATAAGTTCTATTGGTGTATTTTAATAGTAATATTTTGATTAAACCCATTGCTACTTTTTTTAAAAAAAATTGAGAGACAAACACTAATATGAGGTTTTTCTTTAAAATTGTATCTATACCTTGCTAGGTCTGGAGAACATTGATATTCTGCTTTGCTCTATATGTTGACTGCTACCATGATTAGTTCACTTTTTAAAAACTTTCAATATTTTATTTTTTATTAACAAATAATTTTACATATTCATGGAGTACATATTTTGATATGTACAATGTATAGTAATCAGATAAGGATAACTAGCATGTCAATCATCTCAAACGTTTATTTTTATTATTTTTATTATACTTTAAGTTCTGGGGTACATGTGCAGATGGTGCAGGTTTGTTACATAGGTATACATGTGTCATGGTGGTGGTTTGCTGCATTCATTGCCCTGTTATCTACATTAGGTATTTCTCCTAATGCTATCCCTTCCCAATCCCCCTACTCCCTGCTATTCCTCCCCTAGCCCCCCACCCCCCCAGGCCTCAGTGCACGCACGACGTTCCCTTTTCTGTGTCCATGTGTTCTCATTGTTCAACACCCACTCATGAGTGAGAACATGCAGTGTTTGGTTTTCTGTTCTGTATCAGTTTGCTGAGAATGATGGTTTCCACTTTCATCCATATCCCTGCGAAGGACATGAACTCATCCTTTTTTATGGCTGCATAGTATCCCATAGTGTATATGTGCCACATTTTCTTTATCCAGTCTATCATTAATGGGCATTTGGATTGGTTCCAAGTTTTTGCTATTGTCAACAGTGAACAAAAGATATAAATAGACACTTTTCAAAAGAAGACATTTATGCAGCCAACAAACATATAAAAAAAGCTCATCATTACTGGTCATTAGAGAAATGCAAATCAAAACCACATTGAGATACCACTTCACACCAGTTAGAAT